GGATTTAAAGCACGGAACCAGCTAGAGGGGAGGAGACCATTCTGAGTGTGGCCCTCGTGAAATGCAAGCCCCACTGAACGGGGCGGGGGCAGTGTCCACAGCAGTATTAAATGCCCGCATACACGACCCAGACACTCCAACAGGGTCACGTGCCATTTCAAAAGGAGAAGCTTCTCAAAACTGAGGGGGACCGTGAGAAGGAGGAAGTTTGAAGGGTGAGTCAGGAGGATCACCAATTTTTTTTTAAAGCTTGGGGGGGGGGGCAACCTGGTGCAGGGATCCCCAGCCTTTTTGAGCCTTTGGAAATCTGACACGGGGCAGTGGGCACAACTATAAAATGGACTTGCAGGAAGAAGAAGAGAAAAAGAGATTGGATCTCTACCCTGCCCTTCACTCGGAGTCTCAGAGCAGCTTACAATCTCCTTTCCCTTCCCCTCTCCTCGTGAGCAATGCTCCCTCTGAGCTGTGAGCAAAAATTCTACTTTGTGGACTACTGGCATGAAAGCTGTGAGGGAGCGATTTGGCTGCTGCATAAATTACTTTGCCCTGGAGCCATCCTTTCTGAGCTAAGACTAAAATGTGTGAGCCGGAGGCTAAAAAACTGTGAGCTGGCTCACACTCACTCAGCTTAGAGGGAACACTGCCTGTGAGGGAGGTGGGGCTGAGAGAGCTCTTTCGATAACTGCTATTTCAAGAACAGCTCAGACAGAACTATGGCTTGCCCAAGGTCATCCAGCAGCTGCAAGTGGAGGCGTGGGGAATCAAACCCAGTCCTCCCAGATTAGAGTCCATGCACTTAACCACTATACCCAATCCCAAGGAGAAGAGGGGGAAATTAAACAAAAATACTTGGAAAGAGCAGTGAGAGAATAAAACCGACACTGTGGCGGCCACAGAACTAACATCATATTAATCCACACAGCCAACCAAGTCTTCAGTAGCCAATCAGAAGCTCTGCTGGGCAAAACATAAGAATATAAGAGACGCCAATGTTGGATCAGGCCAATCGCCCATCTAGTCCAACACTCTGTGTCACACGGTGGCCAGAAATACCAGGTGCCATCAGGAGGTCCACCAGTGGGGCCAGGGCACTAGAAGCCATCCCACTGTTGCCCCCACCACCACCACCAAGAATACAGAGCATCTCTTGCCCCAGACTGAGAGTTCCTATCTATACCTTGTGGCTAATCGCCACCGATGGACCTCTGCTCCATACGTTTATCCAGTTCCCTCTTGAAGCTGTCCATGCTTGTAGCCGCCACCACCTCCTGTGGCAGTGGATTCCATGTGTTAAACACTCTTTGGATGAAGAAGGACTTCCTTTTATCTGTTCTAACCCGACCGCTCAGCAATTTCATGGAGTGCCCACGAGTTCTTGTATTGTGAGAAAGGGAGAAAAGGACTTCTTTCTGGACCTGCTCTATCCCATGCCTAATTTTGTAAACCTCGATCATGTCACCCCTCAGCCATCATTTCCCCAAGCTGAAGAGCCCCAAGTGCTTTAACCTTTCTTCATAGGGAAAGTGTTCCAACCCTTTGATCATTCTAGTTGCCCTTTTCTGCACTTTTTCCAATGCTATAGTATCCTTTTTGAGGTGTGGTGACCAGAACTGTACACAGTACTCCAAATGAGGATGTACCACTGATTTATACAGGGGCATTATGATACTGGCTGATTTGTTTTCAATTCCCTTCCTAATAATCCCCAGCATAGCGTTGGCCTTTTTTATTGCTGTCACACACTGTCTTGACATTTTCATTGAGTTATCTACTACGATTCCAAGATCTCTCTCTTGGTCAGTCTCTGCCAGTTCAGACCCCATCAACATGAATTTATAGTTAGGATTTTTTGCTCCAATGTGCATCACTTGACACTTGGCCACATTGAACCCCATTTGCCACACTGACACCCACTTGTCTGTAATATGCCATGATTTTCCCACTGTTCCGTTCTCAAGATGGTAATGATTGGTTTTATTTAACTGCAGGTCGATGATATTTTAAAGTCTGGTATATCGGACTGCTAAGTTTTATCGTTATCTGCCTTGTAAGTATTTTAAAACCGTGAGGGTACCTTAAGGACTGAACTGGGTATTTTTAAGTACCACACTGCCCTCTAGTGTCAGGCCACAGCATCAACACCGAAAAGACAATTTCCCCTTTCATGAAAACCGTTTCAGAGGATAGCCGCGTTGGTCTACAGTAGAGCAGTCAGATTCGAGTTCAGTAACACCTTAGAGACCTACAAGATTTCTAAGGTAGAAGCTTTCAAGAGTCAAAGCTCAATTGTGACGAACCTACTGAAGGGACTGCTTTGACTCTCGAAAGCGTGAACATTTTGTTGGTCTCTAAGGTGCTACTGGATTCGAATCTAATTTCCCCTTTTCTGTTTCATTTCACGGGTGAAGAAATCAAAAGTGTCTTGAAGGCGCCTTTGACTGCGATCTTGCAAGGGCATCTAAACTGGAAGGCTAATAATTGTGCAGAAGTGATGTCTACAGCAGAAAACTTTAGTAATTGCAAAAGAATCACCAAAACAAACAAACAACACTTGAGAAGATGAATCACTGTAAGAGCTGCCTCACAGAATCAGACCAACGTCTATCTACTCGGCCTTGTTTTTTCTCTGTCTCCCAAAGAGGCCAGCCAGGTACGCCTGAGAGGCTCACAGGCCCAGCAAGATGCAAACACAGTGGCTCTCCAACATAAAGTATTCCAAAGTACACTGCTCCTGCATGTGGAGGTTCCATTCTAACATGGCTCACAGGCCTGAAAAGCCCCTGCTTGGCTTGCAGACTGAACAAGCAAAGGAACTTGTATGACCCAAAGACAGACCAGAGCAGAAATAAGAGGGCAGATCCTGGGGCGCTACACGAGCTAGATTCAAATTTATGTATTTGAATCTAATATGTATTTGAATTTATGTATTTGAATCATAACTGAAAATTATGTATACATAAAATTGGAAGGCCATATTGGAGTGTTCCCTGCTCTCTCAACTACTTTGGCCACCAAACGAGCAGGGAGCCCTCACTGGAGAAGACCCCGATGCTGGGAAAGACTGAAGGTCAAAGAAGACGGGGACGGCAAAGGATGAGATGGTTAGACAGTGTCATCGAAGCAACGAACATGAAGTTAAGCAAACTCCGGAGGACGGTGGAAGACAGGAGGGCCTGGCGAGATGTGGTCCATGGGGTCGCGAAGAGTCGGATTCGACTGTGCGACTGAACAACAACGACAGCAAAATCCCGCCTTTCCTCCTGGTTCAAAGGATGTAACTCAGCAGAGATGACCAACACGACCTCCAGCCTCTACTCCCAAGCTGTCCGCAGAAACTCTGCTTCTATAGGGCATCTCTGAAACTAAAGACATCCCCAGGAGGTGACAGTACTGCCTTAACTTTAGGACTCACTTCTCTGGAGATTTCCAACTTGGCAAACAAGACTCCACACTCACACACGCACACACACACCCCGATCCTTTCACAGATGAATTAGCTACCTTGCTTGAAGCACCTCCAGGTTTTGGTGAGGGAAATGGAAGGGCCACGCAGATTCCAGGGCTGCTGACTCAAGACGCTAAGCAAGACTACTGAATCACTGAATCCCAGAGTTGGAAGGGGCCATACAGGCCATCTTGTTCAGCCCCCCTCCCAATGCAGGACCAGCCTACAGCATCCCTGACAAATATTCCTCCAGCCTCTTCTTGAAAGCTGCCAGTGAAGGGGAGCTACCCACCTCCCTCGGCGACTGATTCCACCTTTGATCTTTCTTAGTGTCCTTCGTTAACAGCCCTGGAACTCGTGTGTGTGTGAGAGAGAGGGAGGGAGGGAGGGAGGGAGAGCATCAAGTTGCTTCTGACTTATGGCGGCCCTATGAATGAATGACCTCTGGGACATCCAATGGCTGACACCCTTGCTCAGGTCTTGCAAAAGGAGGGCCGTGGATTCACTGACCGACTCAGCCCATCTCACGTTGGGTCTGCTGCCTTCAGCTTTCCCTAGCATTATTCCCTTCTCCAGTGACTCTTGTCAACGGTCTCAGTTTAGTCATTTTAGCCTCCAGGGAGAGTTCAGGCTTGATTTCATCAAGAACCCACTTATTTGTCTTTCTGGCGGTCGACGCTGTCCGTGAAACTCTCCTCCGACACCACGTGAACACATTAAGCTGCCGTATGCTGAATCACACCCTTGGTCCATCGAGGTCAGTATTGTCTATTCTCTAAGGTCTCAGGCAGATCTCTTTCCCATCACCTACTGCCAGATCTTTCAAGTGGAGATACCGGGGATTGAACCTGGGACCTTCTGCATGCCAAGCAGAGGCCCTGTCACTGAGCCACGGCCTTCCCACACATTTCAAAGGAATTAACGTTCTTCCTGTTGGCTTTCTTGGCCCTCCCGTTTTCTTTACAAAAACCTGGAAGTGCTTCAAACAAGTTTGAATATGGGCATAAATTGATTGGGCTGCGGTGGCTCAAGTGGTTAAGATGCTGAACTGCCGACCGGAAGGTCGGTAGTTCAGCAGTTCGAGACCCGAGAGCGGCATGACGGAGTGAGCTCCCGTCTCTGGTCCCAGCTCCTCCCAACCTAGCAGTTCGAAAGCAAGAAATTGCAAGTAGGTAAATAGGTACCGCTGCGGTGGGAAGGGAACAGCTTTCTGTGCACCTTGGCTTCTACTCATGCCGGCCACATGACCACAGAAATGTCTTCGGACAGCGCTGGCTCTTCAGCTTGGAAACGGAGATGAGCACCGCACCCCTAGAGTTGGATTTGACTGGCTTTCGACCAAGGGAAACCTTTACCTTATAAATTGATTATTGTTTTAATGGCACTTCTCCATTTGTGGTTGCTATTTATTTAGGATTCTTTTTGCTACATTAAGCTCCGCACCACTTTTTTCTGTATAACACTGTTCCTAAAAAATTTTTTAAAAGACACTAAGCAACCAAACAAGGTCCTCAGCTACAGGCCTGCACCGCTTTGGCTGTGCTTGTTTGCTTACCAGTGGCCGTGGATCGTGAGAGCCGCAGCCAGCGAGTAGTCCACGGCCGGTCCAGGGTACAGGTAGGCCGCAGGAAGGAGCCCAAGCAAGAAGACGCTGACCGCTCGCTCGGCTGTCCAGTGCAGAGAGGCTGCCTTGGAACCTGCTAAAAAAAGAAGAGGCACTGTTAACTTCCAATCGTTGCCTGCTTATGCTACTTTTAAGGGTCCAGGTTTGCAACAGCAGGAAGCCACCGAGAAGTACCATGAAGTCTGTCTCCCTCCAGCGATAAAGAATTCCCAGCATTTAACACGGTGGGCTTCCTCACACTGAGGACCAAATGGTCTCCGCAGCTCCCAAGTGGAAATCCAAACAAAAATACTGACAGAGCTTCATGGTCCCCCTAGATCTCTGGCCAGCCAGACTCACAAAGCCAGGGACTCGCCAGGCCACCAGAGGTTCCCCCAAAAGAGCAGGGAACAATTCTACTGGTGCCCGGTGCCAAACTGGGGGCATATAGCTACCTAAGTGACACTGACCTGGATGGGTGCGTAGAGGCACTGGCTTCCAATAGCATTCCGGATTCGCTTCAAGGTGCTGGTTTTGACCTTTAAAGCCTTTTATGGTCAGGGGCCTGCCTACCTAAGGGACCGCCTGGCCCTTCCTGGGCCAGGTTGGCAGTGACTAGGACCAGGGCGTTCTCCCTGGCGGCACCAACACTCTGGAATGAGCTCCCAAGTGAGATCACAGCACTGCGGGACCTCCAGCCATTCCACAGGGCCGTGAAAACGGAGCTCTTTTGCCGGGCGTTCCAGTAAGAATGACTTCATCGGTTGTGTTGCACTTGCACTCTATAATATCACGCCGCCACATTTAATTGGTTTTAAATTGAATTTTTCTGTAATTTTATTGAGTGTATTTTATGTTGGTTTTAAAATTGTAATCCGCCCTGAGCCGCCTCGGCGGGAGGGCGGGGTAGAAATCTAATTCATATAATAAACTAATAAAATATAAAATAAATGTAGGTGAATCTGGGGATGCCAGGGACAGACATCAGACGGGCAACCTCAGTGGCACCAAAAGCCTCCTTACCCTGCCCGTCCCCCCAAATCAAATGCCCAAATAACAGAAGTCAATTCAGTTATTCAGATTTGAATACCAATAATGCCATACAGTATTCCAAACCCAACAGCGGACATTTGCGTACCTGTTCTTTTTGGAGAAGGATGATGTGATTGTGGATCAGGTGCAATAGAGACCTTAGATCATCTTATGTTATTTTGCCACCAATGGATTGACCCCAGATCCTATTGGATTACTCCTATTTTACAAAGATATCACCTCCCTATGGAACCCTGGGTGATAACCATACTATTAGCTGATGAGGACCCTGAAACGACTCGCTTGGTGGCAAAATATCTTTCGATAGTGCTATTTTTAAAGCGGCTTTGAAATGTTATAAGTACCTTTTGTATACAATTTTAAAATTTTAAAACTAATTTCCATAATATCATGGTATTTTATAGAATTCATTGAAGTTTATAAAATGTGGTCTGATATTACTGATTGAGAGCATGTTTACTAGCTTTTATTGTAAAGACGTTCTGTCTAAATTTCTTGTAATTTTATGTAATGCATTTTATAGTTGTTTGCATGTTTGGCTTAAGACCTTGGGTCAATGAAGCTAATAAATGAAATGGAAATGGAGAAGGATGAAGACAGAAGTAAGTGTGGGGCAGTGGACAGTATCTTGGACAGGACTGGGACGCGGCTTGGAAGGGAGGGGTGGGCAGCCCTGAAAGGGCACATCAGCTCCGCCCACGGCATTCTGAAGCTCTTGTACGCAATGTTTTAATGTTCTGATGTTTGCCACGCTGAGGGGTCCTGAGTCAGGTGGAAAGGTGACGTACAAATGTTTAAAATAAGTAAATGTGGCCTGTCTGTGCCTAAGCAGATGTTCAGAACCCGAAGGACTAGAAACTTGCTTTTTCAAAATATAAAAACGAGGCTTCCAGGAATCACAGTTGTGAAACAAATTCTGTTGTTCTGGAGAACGTCCCTAATGATGCAGCAAGAGGGCAAACACCGTAAAGACACAGAACGCCCAGTCAAGATAAGAACCACTGCATGGTACAGAAGATTCCCGAAATCTCTTCAAGACTGCAGCCGCACATTGCACAAGCTGGAGGCACCACAATTTGTGCAGTTTGAGTATTTTCACTGTCTCCTAATTAACACAATCTGCACTGGAGGAGAGGCCCAGAGCGTCCCACCAGTGGCCACTCCACAGGTCTGCACCGCCACCATCTAGGCGCCAACATGCAATCCGGAGCAGATGTTCATCAGTGAAGAAGAACAAAGCATTTATTTATTTATTACTTCCCATTTATATCCCGCCTTGCCCGCCAAACTGACTCAAGGCGGCTTACACGAGATAAAATACAATAAAACAATAAATGCAGTAAAACTCCCTGTATAGAAATATTAATTCCTGTAGGCCTCATGTCTCCCTTTGAATGTTATGTAGCATCATGTTTCCCCTTGGAATGCCTTTTGCTCTCACCCCCGGGTGTTCTAGCTTCCTATGCCTGACCATTTGCTCAATTGCCCTGTCATATAACGACACATGTTTCACACTTCTGGCAGACCTACTGGAGCCTAGTTAGGCCTAGCTGCCAGGAGTCACGTACCACATGGAGGAGTGGTTAGAGGGAGTGGTTAGAGCTTGGGATCACATTCTGCAGGTGTGGCTTCAATACTACTGACCACTCAAGACACTTGGACAATTTCAGATCGTGTTCATTGGCTCCTGGCCCGGGTCATTTGAATCCTGAAATTGGCCCTTTTTAGTCTGAACCCAAAGACACGAGCTCAGATTTTCTGCTTGCTAATCTGTTCTTGCTATCTACTGTCTGTGGACTTATTCTGACATGCTTTGTTTCTGCCATGTGGCTGGCAGACAAAGGATCCTGGGTTGCAGCTCAACACATGGCTGCATACTGGCACAAAGATGAAACTTAAGTGGACTTTGTTAAAATGGACTGCCTTGGACTATTGACCCTTCTTCTTGTTGGTAAATATACCCTATTGTATAGTTAGGCAACAAACTTGCATAGCCTTTCTTATTTTTCTAATCTCCTATGGTCTGATTACAAGTTTCTGCTAATAAACTTTATTCTGTTTTAATACTGTGTCTGATGGATGTACCTTTGACTCCCAGTCTTAAATCCTGTGCTTGAACTGCTTTGCCAACTGTTGCTACCTTGCTAAGAATATTCTTGTGATAAGTCCCAAAAGCCAGTCAAGAGTCTGAGCCTCCTCTTGGACTGGAAGGGGATCATAGTGGAAGGTTCTGGTGGCACGTGTCTGTAAATCCATAGAGAGACTACCTCTCTTGGGGTTTTGTGTAAAATACTTTGTCTCAGTCCATGATCCTTTCCTTTCACAGTCCTGGATTGGTCTGGGGGAAAGACAGGATCATGACACTCCCATAACAACATAAAGTGCAAGTAGCTGTGGTGGCTCAAGTGGTTAAGACGCTGAACTGCATGCTGTGGAAGGTCGGTAGTTCAGCAGTTTGAGACCCGAGTGTGCCGCGTGGCAGAGTGAGCTCCCGTCTCTAGTTCCAGCTCCTGCCAACCTAGCAGTTCGAAAGCAAGAAATTGCAAGTAGATAAATAGGTACCACTTCGGTGGGAAGGTAACAGCGTTCCGTGCGCCTTGGTTTTTAGTCATGCCGACCACATGACCACAGAAACGTCTTCGGACAGCGCTGGCTCTTTGGCTTTGAAACGGAGATGAGCACTGCAACCCTAGAGTCGGACTCAACTGGCTTTCGAGCAAGGGAACCTTTACCTTTAAGACAATACAGGTGGCGGCAGTTTCTAAACATGATCCAAGAAGAAAGTGCAAAAGAGACGGCTCAGAGGCCCAACCACTGCCCATTCAGAGGTTTCTTCAAAAATGTACACTACAACCCAACATCTTTAAAAGACAAAGTCCAAAAACATTAAGCAGCACCTGCAAGTTTGCATGGTTATGGAAGAGAGCGCCAAATACACCTGTCAGACGCCAAAAGGTCTTTTCACCGTATCATGCATTAAGGCAGGGGTGGCCAAACTGCGGCTCAGGAGCCACATGCGGCTCTTTCACGCATATTGTGTGGCTCCCGGCAGGGCGGCTGGGGAAGTGAAGGGGAGGCATGCCTCCCCGATGGGTCTTCCCTTCCCCAGCCAGTGTTCCCCTCCCTGGGAAGGCTTGAGGTGGGCAGAGCAGAGAAAGAAAGCAGCTTTAACTTTAAATGCATTCTCAAAGCCTCCCCCCCCAGCCTACAAATATAATTGGATAAATAAATATCATTATCAATATCTGTTTTTACCCCTTTTGTTTTTATTTTTGGCAGTCTCGTTCAATGTTAATTAAAAAAAGTAAATTTGCATATTTCCCAATTAAAAAACGTGTGTAATATTTGTTCGTGTCTTGCGGCTCTCAAACATCTGGTGTTTATTCTGTGTGGCTCTTATGTTAAGCCAGTTTGGCTACCCCTGCATTAAGGGTTTCGAGGGAGGGATGATCGTCAATGTTAAACTGGCGCGGGGACAAGGCACAGAGAAATCTTGTGGGTGAAACTGCTTGACTCATTAGCAGACGCCGCAGAAGACCCCATGGGAAGCACAAGACAAGCCAGCAATCTCTCAAGAACACCACGAAACCCACTCAGACCAACTGTCTGCTGCAGCTCCTGTTCCTTTCACTACACTTGAAAAAGGAACAAATCCGACTCCAGGCCCCATCCCAAACATCACTGTCTGTGGACTGCAAGACCAATCAAAGCCACTGCGTGGAAAATAAGACATCCAAACATTGCTACTTTTTCGATCCAAGAAAGATGGATCCCCCGTTATGCAGCAGGGAAGACTTGAAAACACAAAC